GCATGTGGGATCTTAATTCCCCAACCAGAGATTAAACCCTTGCCTCCTGCATTGGAAGCACCAAGGCTTAACTACTAAACCACCAGGAAAGTTCTGCTATTGGCTTTTTAGGTGAGACAAATCTCTGGTGTATGGGACAGTCCTATCTATTATTGCTGGATCTTTACAGCAATAAATGTCAGTGCTATTTCATCCTCAGGCATGTGACAAGCAAAATGTAGGCAGATATTTCCAAAACCCCTGGAAGGGCCTGTGGATGCCTCTGATGAATGGCAGGACATCCTGCCATGGAAATGTGAAACATGGGATAAGCTTTGCCCCAATTTCACTTTTCACTTTCATGCACTGGAGAAGGAAATGACAACCCACTCCAGTATTCTTGCCTGGAGAATCCCAGGGACGGGAGCCTGGTGAGCTGCCGTCTATGGGGTTGCACAGAGTCGGCCACGACTGACATGACTCAGCAGCAGCATCCACACTTAGCCCCTGGCGGGACAGGGAGTTCTTTTGGCCTTCAAGTTGCATTTCACAGTTCTGTCCAGAACTGCCCCACACTGGCTGTTCATAAATAACTTGCTATTAATAGAACAATGCTTTAGACTTCCGTGCTGGTCCAGTGGTTAGGAGTTTGCCTGCCAATGCAGGGGACAGGTGTTCAATCCTGGACCAGGAAAACCCCACATTCCAGAGAGCAACTAAGTCTGTGTGCCACAACTACTGAAGCCCATGCACACTATACAACCTGTGCTCTGAAAAAAGAGAAACTACTCCAACGAGAAGCCCACTCACCGTAACTAGAGAAAGCCTGAGTGCAGCAGCAAATACCCAATGCAATAAAAAATAGTTTTTTTTAAATGATGCTTTACTACTCTCCTCCGATGCACCATCACACACACACACACACACACACACACACACGAAGAAATAAATGATGCTACAAGTATTCCAGGAGCCAAGGGGACAGGATCTGACCTGTGTCTCAGGGAATGCATTGTCTGAGGACAGGAGGAAGGAAGTGAGGCGGGTTTGGGGTGACTGTGACTTACATGTGTGTGACCTTCAACAATTTATTTAACCTCAACCATGTATCTCTGTTGCCTCATATGAAAATATGAAAATAATAATATCTACCACTTAGGGATGTTAGAAGGCCCAAATGACTTAAAAAAAAAATTATTGGAGTATAGTTGACTTACCATGTTGTGTCTGTTTCCCAAATGACATTAAAAGATTGTTGTATATAATGTTTAAGGTCACAGACTCTGGAGACTGGCCCCTGGACCTGCCCAGCCATCCACCAGCTGTGTAACCTTAGGTAAGTCCCTTACCCTCTCTGTTCCCTTGATTCCTCCTCTGTAACAGGGGAATGGCAGCACGTGCCTCAGAGGGCTGCTGAAAAGATAAATGAGCTAACAGATGTAAAGTGTTTACAGCAGTGTGCCATTCGGAGTTGAGTTCTCTGTAAATGTTAGCAATTGCTATGTCAGGATTATGTCCTCCAAGTAGGACTCATGTTTGTTTGTTTGTTTGTTTCCATTAAACTCTAGACTGTATTCTAATCTCACCGATTTTTCCATTAAAGTTCTTCTGTTTCGGGATGCAATCCAGATGACCATATCACATGTTGTTTCCATGTCTCCTGGGTTTCCTTTGTGACAGTTTCTTAGTCTTACCTTGTTTTTCATGGTTGTGAAGGTTTTAAGGAATACTGGTCAGATATTTTGTAGAACGTCTCTCAGTCTGGGTTGGTCTGAGTTTTTCTCATACTTAGACTGGGATTATAGGTTTGAAGGGAGGGGAGAAATACCATAGAAACGAAGTGCCCTTCTTATCACATCATACGAGGAGCTACATAATACTCACATGACATCACTAGTGATGGTAGACTAAGCTATCTGACTCTAATGAAAATTAGAGAAGTAACTTATTAGATATTACATCTCCCATTTGCATTCTTTCTTCCTATTTGAGTATTCAGCCCCTTCCCCAGGTTAACTATGGACTTGATGATGGTTTGTTATGATTTCTAGATATGTAATTTTTGTTACTTATTGGAATATAAGCAAGGATTTATTTTAGACTGTAAAGACAAGTTATGTACATGATTGCTCCTGGCTCTCTTCTGGTTAAAAAAAATTTTTTTTAATTGTGGCTGCAAAAAACACCTCATGATACAAAATTTTAAGGTAGAGTTAATTTTATTTTTGAGGTACAGTTCAGAAATGTTAAGTGTCTTCACATCGCGAAGCAACAGACTGGGGCTCGTATTCTTTTGGTGACACACCAAAAAATTTACACCAGTTATGTGGAAAAATATGTTTTGTATTCAACATTATGTTTTAATTTTCATCTGCATTAATATAAGTTGCATATTAGTATACAATTTTGTGAATGTTAGTGTTTAAAAACTGAGTTGAGCTTATTTTAGTTGAGCTGTTTTAAAGAAAACTATTAAGTAAATAAGTTAAAATGTATGTGGGTGTGCATATGGAAGGTATTATGATGTGGTAAGAGAAAGGCTGAGGTTTGTGAAACACTGACCTGCTAAATCCTCCTCTTCCCCCAGGGTCAGTTTAACCATATCCTTCACAAGGCACTTCCCTTACCATCCTCAGTCTCTGCTAGATCCCAAATCATATGGTCTCAAAACTCTATTTTTCACTTTTTCTTTCAATCAAATTTATTTTAGAGACAAGTAACTGAATCCCAAATCAAACTGGTCTGGGAAGATCAATGGAAATATATAGACTCGGGCAATACAAAACGTGAAGTCAACATTAGTACCAACTTCAGGCACAGCTAGATCTAGGTGTTTAAATGATAGCCCCTGAAATTTCTCTTCATTCTGCCTATGCTTTCCTGTGTGTTGGCCTCATTCCTTTACAGCCTCTCCACTCAAGGTAGAAAGAGGGCCCCAAGCAGCTCCACATTTAGATCCCTTCTGCTTAGCAAGCCCAGGAGAAAGCAGTGCTATATTTCCCAGAATTCCAGTAAAAGCCCTCATTTTGCTCCTCCTTGGCCTGCTTTGGGTATGTGCCCAAGTCTCAATAAATTACTGAGGCTTGGGGCTAAAATGCTCTGATCGGTTAAGCTTGGGTCACAAGTCCAGCCCTCACTCAGTCACTGTGGTTGAAGAGTATAAAGTGCTCTGATTGGTCAGATCTGGGCTCCTCGGCTCCCTGGAACCAAGAGGAAGTTGGTTTCTCAAAAGACTGTTGTCACCTGGATAAAAGAACGTGAATACCGGTGGAGCAGAAACCACAGAGTTCTCGTCCATAGACGGTTATTAACCATACTGCAAATATTTGTTTATTACCCATCCCTGGTCCCCTGGCCTGGCTAGTTGCCCTAGCAGAGGCCTTCAGGAAAATCATAAACAAGGCAGTATGGTTAGTACACTAAAGACATAACCCTGTCACTTGATGAGGGCTACTTTTAGAGATTCAAGGGGAAGACTTTGTCCCAGGGTGGGGTAGAACCTAGACATCTCTGGGAGAGAAAAATAGGAACTTCTGAGTCAGATATGAGTTCAAATTCCAACACTTCCATTATTTCATTATTTCCAACATTCATTCTTTCATGCATTCACTAAAGGAAATTTATTGGGCATCCATGATGTGCCAGGTATTAGTACTGTTCTAGACCCTGGGACATAGTCATGAGCCAAACATGACTGAAGGGCTCCTCCTGTATCTGACATTCTAGCCAGGGAGGTGGATGTGGGGGATAAGAGACAAATAATAAACAAATGGACAAAAAAAGAAATGATTTCAGATTGTATAATAGTAAATATTATAAAGAAAATAAAGCAGTGTATCTTGCTAGCAAGAAGCAGGAGGGGGCTGACTTACAGTAGGTATTAGGGAAGACCTTTGTGGGGAATTACTATTTGAATTGATATTTGACTTGAGATTAGAATAATGAGATGATTATTATCCTCATCTCAGCCAGTCATGAGATGATTTGTGAAAGCCTCCAAGAAGGAGTAGCAGTGCTAAGGCCCTGAGGTGGCTCACTCCAAGAACTGACAAAAGCCATTATGAATAGCTGTGTGGCATTGGGTGAATTTCTTAGCCTTTGTGTACTGCTGGAAAATGAGGATCTTCATACCAACCCCTCAAGGTACTATGAGGAGCCAACCAGAAAACAATTGTAAATGGCGATAACTGGCACCCAGCGGTTGTTCAGTAAATCCAAGCTATTATTTGGGTGTTATTATTATTAATTTGAGAAGGAAATACTAGGCCTGGAGGGCCAAAAGGATGAGAGAAAGAAGCTTTGGTAGCTTCTCCTTCTAAAATCCAAAATTTAGGATATATAATATGAGCACAGCCGTGAGAAAGGGCTCCTGATCATGACTTGAGAACATCCAAGATACCAATAATAATCACTGTAATTAGCATTATTGTAATAGCCACAGCCATTTTTTGAGTACCTATGACATGCCAGACACTCTGCTGAGCACCTGATTTATGTGTGCATGGGCCCCTCTGACCCTGGGGAAGGCACTGTTATCAACACCCTCATTTTACAGAGGCTCAGAGTTAATAGTCTGGAGGTCTGGAGCAAAATCAGGAGGCCAGCAGGAGGCCCAGCTCCCCGCCTACCTGATGACCTTTGGCCCATTGTCGCCTCTGATGTGGGGTTTCAGGGACAGTTCTGTCCTAGTTCTTCATCTTCACCATTCTCCCAGCCCGGAGGGGATGGGAAGGGGAGCCAGAGACAGAGGCGAGCTCAACTCCAGAGCCCCTTCTCCAAAGACCCTTCCCCAGCCTCCTCCCCACCCACCACTGCCAGGAACCCAGTGCTAGAGAAGAGACTTCCCAGCTCATCACTGGAGACCAAGGCTGGGCACTGTGGAGGTGTGGCCAGGGAATGGGCTGGGCCTCGCAGGGGCGGAGCCATGGCTGTGTACTTGACTGTGTGGTCTAGGGGACCCCACTCCAGAAGGGCGACCTCTTCTGCGCTGCTGCCTACGCCACCGCAGGACAGAACGCGGCATGAGGTGGCCTCTGGGCACCAGCTCCAGCCACAGCCCCACCTGGACAAGGCTGCTTCTAACAGGTGCGTGAGAGACAAGGGCTGCACTCATGGGTTGGGGACAAGGAGCAGACATCCCTGGGGAGGGAGAGAGTCTTTATCCAAATCAGAGACGCTCCCACTCTGAGTTCTGACTCTGGTCATGTTACAGCCCATGCAGCATGGGCAACCCACGCATAAGAGCTCTTGAAATCCCCAAGAGGCCCCTGTGATTGACCCCTTTTACAAAGGAGTAAAGTGAGGCTCAGATAGGGGTGGGGTCACTTGCTCAAGAGCAGGTGGCTGGCAAAGGCAAAATAAGAATTCAGTACCCCCATGCCAGCCCCTTTCCACCAGAGCACCCTGTCTGACCCTAGCTACCCATATCTAATAATAATTTTTCAATAACAATAATAACAATGAAAAAGTATAACAATCATAAGAAAAAGAGGCCATTGTGACTGAGTACTTCTACATGTCAGCCTCTTCTAAGTGCTTTCATGTAGTAACATTTAATTCTTAACCCCAGAAGGCTAGAGTTGCACAAGCCTCATTTCATAGAGCAGGAAACTGAGACACAGAGAGGTTATGGGTCCTCCCCAGGCCACACAGCTTGAAAGTAACAGAAGGACTTGACCCCAGATGATCTGGCCACCAAGACCACACTTTCCAGAAGCCACCCACATTTACCTCTTGGAGAGTAAATGAATTGCTTCTTTTTCCAGGCCTTAAAAAGTCCAGTTCTGTGTAATTTCAAAACTCCAGCCACAGTTGAGAACTTCACTTCTGCCCCAGCTCGGACCTGGGTCAGGCTGCAGTGAGGATGTAGTGGGATGTGGTGGGCCTTGTTTCTATGTCTCTCTGTGTCCTTTCTCCCCACCCAGAGGTCTGTGTCCATCCCCTCCACCCCCCAAGGCCATGGGTAGAGGAGAGGAAGGCACGAGGGTGCAGGAAGGTTTCAGATTGACTACTGTAGCGGTAAGGTGGGGACATGGCCTTCTGTGTGGCTGAGGCATGATGCTGAGATCTTCCTGGGCGGGAAATCTACCCAGCAAGTCGTCTCCAATGGGGCTTTTTGCCAGGACAGGCTCCAGAGATGCCCCCATTTGGAGCTCTGACTGGCTCCTTCAGCAGCATTCACACTGGCTCATGGGAAACTCGTGGACATCTCTGTTGTCCCACCAAATGCAGGAGGTGTGGACCACATCCATCCTGCCCACTCCACCTCCATCTGTCACCTGAAGACTTACAGGTCTAAGTTCTCACAAACTCCACGGCACACATCTCCAGAGCTCCAAGAGGTTCCCTTGGAGCTCCCCCCTCACTTAGCAGGAGGTGGAGGAAAATCCCAGCCCCAATGGGGACCTCCAGTCCCCCAGAAAACCTCATTCTGAGCCATCTCCTCTTCTCCATGAGCTCTCAGCCTTCTCTCTTGGCAGGGGTAGAGTGGCTGGTGCTGGCAGAACTGGTGATGGGTAACCCCTGTTAGCTGGGCTTCCCTGGTGGCTCAGATGGAAAAGAATCTGCCTGCAATGCAGGTGGACCCAGGTTCAGTCCCTGGGTTTGGAAGATCCCCTGGAGAAGGGAATGGCAACCCACTCCAGTATTCTTGCTTGGAGAATTCCTTGGACAGGGGAGTCTGGCGAGCCACAGTCCTTGGGGTCGCAAAGAGTCAGACATGACTGAGTGACTAATAGAACAACCCCTGTTAGCTAGACCTCAGTTGGGAATGGGGAGTTCTTGGTGTCTGTTGTTTTGTTCTCAGCCTCTGGAACCTTTGGGGAGATTCTGCGGCAATGGAAGTCAAGTTTAACATTCTGCTGTATTTATATTTATATATAGTGATTCAAGGAACTGTTCTGGGGTCAAATAGGGAAAAACTGAATAGTGACTTTTTCTCATTTGATTGAAGGTTAGAAATGAAATAAAATAGCCATGCTCCAGGCAAGTAGGACTTCTGGAATTATCTCTATGGTTGTAGAGATAATATATATATATTATATATATATATAGGTTATATATTATTATATATTATATATATTATATATAGATGTTATAGGTATTGTGTATATACATATACATGCAATATATATTGCATGTACATGCTAAGTTGCTTCAGTTGTGTCCAGCTGTCTGTGACCCCATGGCTGTAGCCCACCAGGCTCCTCTGTCCATGGGATTTTCCAGGCAAGACTACTGGAGTGGGTTGCATACCCTCCTCCAAGGGATCTTCCTGACCCAGTGATCAAACTCTTGTCTCCTGCATTGGCAGGCAGATTCTTTACCACTGTGCCACCTGAGAAGCCCCTCCTTTCTATTTATTATCACCCTTGTCACATCAGCTCTCCACGGCACTCATTCTCACCAGCACGTGAGGGCTGGCGGCTGGGGCAGCATCTTGCCTTTGGTCCCATTGCTCACTTGCTCTCTCTTCTCCCTCCAACCCTCCTACAAGGCACCCTGCTCACATTCAGCACCTGCTCTGACTCGTTGGAGCTGCCCTCCTCTGTGTCTTTGGAGCCCTTGACCAAAGGAGCCGATGCCCACCTGCCAGTCCCCAGAAGCCTGGATGGGGTTCTTTCCACTTCTTGGTTCCGAGGGCATGAAGTCCGGCCAGAAGCCATGATCTTCTCTCCCGAGGGCCTCCCAGGGCCTGGCCACACTGGCCGGGAGACGCTGGACACCCAGGGCAGCCTGATCATCAGAAACGTGACGACTTTAGATGCGGGCAGCTACACGGTGGTGCTGGAAACCAGACGGGGGCGCAGGAGCGCGACGGAGCAGATACAGTTTAAGGGTAAGTTCACTCCCCATCCCTCCACGGCGGGGCGGGAGGGACAGAGTTCTCAGTCCGCAGAACTTAGAATAGCAACTAATTTTTTTTTTAGCTCAAGATTCTTGTGAACAGTTCTGGTCTCAGCTAATTTTATCCGGGCTCACTCCAGAGTCTGCAGTCAGCCGGTTCGGAAGGATTGCCTGGGCACTGGTGCGGGATGGCCTTCATATGTCTGGCAATGGCCTGGCTGGCAGTTGGGGCGATGTCGGTAATTGGGCCACGAGCCTTCCCATCCTCCAGCCCGTAGCCTGAGCTCGTTCTCTTATCAAAGGAGCAGAAGCTGCAAGCCTCTGGAGGCCCAGGCTCAGAACCAGCCTGCCAGTACTTCCGCCATGTTTTATTGGCCAAAGTGAGTCACATGACCGGCTTTGCTCCAATGGGAGGGAAATAGGTTGAGGTCCATCAGTCTGGGCTCCCAGGGGGCTCAGTGGTAAAGAAGCTGCCTGCCAATGCAGGAAGCATAAGAGACCGGGTTCGATCCCTGGGTCGGGAGGATCCCCTGGAGGAGGAAATGGCAACCCACTCCAGTATTCATGCCTGGGAAATCCCATGGACAGAGGAGCCCGGCAGGCTGCAGTCCATGGGGTCACAACAGTCGGGCTCGATTTTGCAACTAAACCACTACCACCATCAGTCTACATATCTGTGATTTGAAGGCCAGTTCTTCTAGAAGCCTACTCTGCCTAAAGCGTGTGCAGACTCTGAAACCCAAACCACCTGCATCGAGTCCTTGCTCCTTCACTTCCTAGCCACATCCCTTTGCAAAGTGACTTGCCCTCTGTGCGCTTCAGCATCCTCCTCTGTAAAAATAGAATCATGGTAGACCCTCCCTTGTAGGAGTGCTGTGAGGAACAAACAAATTAATCCACACCAAATACCTAGAACAGTCCCTGGCACCTGTTGCCAAAATCTTGGTTCTCTGTGTGAGATGCCAGGTAAAAATACAGAGACAGGGTTTTGGAGGAAAGAGGAGTAGCTTTATTTCTTTGCCAGGCAAAGAGGGAACACAGCAGGCTACTCCATTAAGAACTGTGTCCCCGCTGGAGGGGGTAGTGAGGAGTTTTATAATCTTTATAATGGGGCTCATGGTCTGGCATATGTGATAAGGATCAAAGTAACGAAGGTCTTGTATTCTTCTTCCTTTTGTAGAGTTTCAGAACAGTCCTAGTTGACATCAGGCAACTCAGTGACTCCCTCTTTCTGTCTCCCAGGGTTATTGGCCTGTTATCTTCTTTCTGAAAGGAAGAATGCTATAGAGGATTGTTACAAGAAGTGTAGGGGAATGTGAACCCCAGGTGCAGGGGGTAACTCAGGTAGAGTCTGAGAGTGGTTAAGGCATTAGCTTTGTAAAAGGCAGCAGGCCGTGCTACATGCTCAGTGAATCAGTAGCAGTTAAACTAGGGTTGCTTAACTCTTTCAGGCCAGTGTATGCTATTTCCCCAGCCTGTTCACTGGTTCCTTATTTTCCCTCCTTGTCAGAAGAGTCTCATTTCTGTCTTTGCTGCAACGCACAGAGCAAGCAAATGTTTGCCATGAGTATTTCAGGGGACTTGACCTCTTCGAGCCCTTGTTTTTCCATTAAAAGGATGATAACAAATTTGAAATCTACCCTGTAGGGTTGTTGTGAGGATTAAACAAATAAATCCAGTGGTTTTCAAGTTTTTTAAATCATGACCCAGTATGTTCATATATCTACATATCACAAGTCCCTTGCCTTTACAAGTGTCATAAAATAACAATTATTGCTAAGTGTGATGCATTCTGATACTTTTACATCTCATTTCACATTTTAAGGCTGATTATTCACTCAATGTGCTCAGTCATGTCTGACTCTTTGGGACCCCATGGACTGCAGCCCTAAATGCTGATGACAACCTACTAAGACAACCTACTAAATGATTTCACCCAAGCATGGGTCTTATTCATAACATAACAAGCCAGTAATATAACGAGCTGTGGTTAACATGTATTTAGAATGGTGCTTGGCTCATAGTAAGAGTCCAATCTAGATGGCTATTACATCAATTCATTTTTTAAAAAATAATTTTATTTATTTTTGGCTGTGCTGGGTCTTCATTGCTGTGTGGGTTTTTCTCTAGTTGCATTGAGTGGGGGCTACTCTCTGGTTGTGGTGTGCGGGCTTCTCCTGCGGTGGCTTCTGTTCTTGCCAAGCACAGGATCTAGGTGCATCAGCCTCAGTAGTTGTGGCTCATGGGCTCTAGAGCACAAGCTCAGTAGTTGTGACAGGGGCTTAGTTGCTCTGTGGCATGTGGGATCTTGCCAGAGTAGGGATCGAACCTGTGTCTTCTGCATTGGCAGGCAGATTCTTTACCACTGAGCCACGAGGGAAGCCCCTACATTGATTCTTGTTTCCACACCCGTGGGTTCTTTTTCCTCCTGCAAGGCTTAGCTCAGGCACCGCCTCCTCCAGGAAGATGTCTCTGAGCTCTTTGGCTGGATTGAAGTTTTTTTTCACTTTTCATATTGCACCAAATAGTAATCAGCTCCATATGAAGGTCCCCAGCACTCACCATGACATCAGATCCAAATCCCAGCTGTGCCTCTCTCTCTCTGACCATGAGTCCTGGCCCTGAGACCCCCAGACCTCAGAGTCTTTCACCTGAAAAATAAAATAAAATAAAATAAAGAACTATGGTGAGGAGGTGGGGAGGGGAGCTTCTCTGGTGGCTCAGCAGTAAAGAATCTGCTTGCCAGTGGAGGAGTTGTGGGTTCCATCCCTGGGTCAGGAAGATCCCCTGGAGAAGGAAATGGCAACCGACTCCAGTATTCTTGCCTAGGAAATCCCCTGGACAGAGGAGCCTGGTGAGCTACAGTCCATGGAGTCACAAAGAGTCAGACACGACTCAGTGACTCAATAATAACAACAAATGGTGAGGATGATGTATGCTGTCTGTAAGGAGCCCTCCCAGTAGCCAATGGCCCAGGCCCCAAGGCTTGGAGGACCCCTTGACTATCACCACCCTCACCTACATCCAATCTATCAGCAAATCCTGTGGACTCTACCTGCAAAATAATCCAGAATCTAGCCACGCCTCCAGAAGCCCCTTGGCTTCTACCCTGGTCCAGCTGAGGGCAGGGTACCCGGGGTATTTATATGCCAGTCCACACTGGTCACTGTGGGAGGCTGTGTGCCCACTCTCCAGTGCTTTGGCTGCTGCTTCCATGAGCAGAGCAGGCTCTGGCAGCCAGTGAATTCCCTGAAGCCACGGATGCAGTGTTGGCAGTCACATGTGCTGAGGACAGCTCAGCTCCATCCAGTGTCTGGATCAACAGTGGGCACAGACCAGGCCCTCCAAACATGTTGATGAATGAATGAATAAGCGAGTAAATGAATGAACAGATGCCTCTGTGGGGAACAGAGGAAGTGCTCAGCCTCTCTGAGTAGTGTCCACCCATGTGACCTTGCTCCCTTGTTTGCACAGCCACCTATGATGGGGTGCAGCTGGTGACATTCCCGGGAAATAAACAAGGTGTCCTCCGGAGTGACCTCAACTACTCTGTGATCCTGCAGTGGGCGGCTTTAATCACACCTGAACCTGTGCTACGGTGGACCTTCAATGGGAGACCTCGTGGAACTGGAGAAAGGCTGATTGTCCACAGGTTGTCCATGAAGGATCTGGGCACCTACTTATGCTTGGCCGAGAATAGCCAGGGAGTGTACCTCTCCCAGCCTGTGACTATCATGCTGCCACGTGAGTCTCCCACCCTCACCCCAGACCCCTGGTCAGTGGCCAGCTTTCCTGATACCATTGAGCCATTTTCTGTGAGCAATTCCCTATGAGACCCTTTATAGTCAAGATGACATCCCATTCTTTCATCCTCCTGGCAGAGTGGGGATTATTAGCCCATTTTACAGATGAGAAGCTGTGGTCTAAAGACTTGAATGCTAATGAAAGCTCAGGGCAGGATCTGGAACCAGCTGTCTGGGTCCTCCTGGCTCCAATCACTTTCTACTCTGTGAGTTTGAGAAGTCTCTTTGCCTCTCTGAATCTCAGCACCTGCCAGAGGAAAAATGAAGGTGGTAATATAACAAGTGGTTCCAAGCACAGGCTTTGGAATTTGAATTCTGGCTCCACTACTTGCTGGCTGTGTGACTCTGGGCCAGTGCCTTGTCTTCTCTGTGCTTCAGTTTCCTCAGTATTCTGAGGAATATAAACTTGGAAAATAATAGTGCCTACCCCAAAATGCAGCTGTGAGCGTTCAGTGAGATAGGCTGGTGAACAGCTTAAAATAGGGGCGCCTAGCACTATGGAACACTAGTGAGTGCTCAATACACATGAACTGGTATCATTGCTATGATTAGTATTATCCATATTATTATTACTTTTGTGCCTATTACCGGAGGCAAGAGTGTGTACAGAGGCTCAGGTGGCAATCACAAGATGAGCCAGTTATTGGGATTAAAAAAAGTGGTTGGGGAGCCAGTCAAAGTGGAGTTCAGTTTCTGCCACTGTGCCTTCTTGGCTGGGTGACTTAGGACAAGTGGTGCTCCTTCTCTGGAGCTTCAGTTTCCTCCTGTGTTTAACCAATGTGATCATGTAGACCTCTAGAAAATTGCTGTTAAGGAACTGAAATGGTAAATGCCAGAAACTAGTAGAAAATCAGTCAGCTGGTGCTTTAAATAGCAGCAGTTACCGTGCATGTTATTTTTAGTATTTCTACTCATAGAGTCGTGAAGAGGAGCTGCCTAGAGAAGAGCGGGAGGCATGTAAGCAGCAGGAATCACTTGAGCCAAGGTCCAGAGCAAGGGAAGGTTGGAGACGGTGGAGAGCCTGGCTTGGCGACATTCCTAGAGCTGCTTCCTCTCCCCAGCCATGGTTCAGTGGGAGGTTTCAGGATTTGATTTTAGATAATTTATTGGGAGAAAAAATATAAATCTTGGAGCACCTGGTGACCCTGATACACTCACTGAGAATGACAGTACTTCTAAGACCCCCTTTCCTTGTTCATCAACTGTTCAGGAAATGTTTATTGAGCACCTATTATGTGACTGGCCTTTGCTGAGCAGTGCTGAGGACAACTGGTAACAGAGACAGTCTTAGTCCTGCCATCACAGGACTTCCAGTGCAGTAGGGGACAGACCTGTCCACAAATAGTAATGACTAGAGTGGGCAGAGCTGGGGTGGGAGAACTCAAAGGGCTGTGAGACCCAAGGGGACACCCCACCCAGCAAGGGAATCAGGGAGGGCTTCCTGGAAGAGGGGGCATCTGAGTTGGTACTAGGACACATAGAAATTGTCCAGGCCAGGGGGAGAAAAATGGCATTCCAGGGGCACAGATAAAGGCTTGGAAGTAGGAGAGGGAAGTAGAAAATTAAGTAGAATACAACAAAGCTTGGTTATAAATGTAGAGGGTAGAGAGATATGAGACTGGCCAGATGCAGTTTCTTGAAGGTCAAGGTGAAGTCCTGGAAAGCCATGGGAAGGTTCTGAGCAGGAGAGGAAGAGGGTCAAGTGTGGACTTTACAAAGACCCCTCTGAGGACTTCCCTGGAGGTCCAATGGTTATGATTCTGTCCTTCCAATGCAGGGGGCACAGGTTCGATCCCTGGTCAGGGAACTAAGATCCCACCTAACGAGATGTGGCAAAAAAAAAAAAAAAGAAAGAAAGAAAGAAACCCTCTGGCTTCTATGTGGTGATGAGATGGGTTGGAGAGACTGAAATGGGAGATCTGGGAGGAAGCTGAGGTGGAGACAGGGAGGATGGGGGAGGAGGTGGAATGGCGGGGCAAGTGGGGGTATTTAGGGAGGGTGTCTCCTCCAGTCTCTCCCCTTCTTGGTTCCCAGAAGCTGATGTGGAACCCACAGAACCTGCACCCATCTCCCGGAATCCCCCGCTCTCCCTGTCAGGAGGATCTGCCATTGCTCTCATCGTGGCCGCATCTGTGGTAGGCTTGGTACTGGTTGGAAGCGTGCTCTTCACCTTCATCCAGAAGCTAAGGTACCTGCCTTCCCTTCCTCCCATCCACTCAGCTCCACAAGGCACAGAGCTCTCTCTGCAGCAAGACTGAAGCCAAACCAACAACCTTATCCCAGGGAGCATAAAGTTCATTCAGAGAGGATGACATAGACCCCCAATATGCCCCACCTAACTAGTCAGTTCCCAAAGTAGCCCAGGAGAAACAAAGAGACAGGAGACAGTCCTGGAGCTGGGTTCAAATCCCTGTTCTGTCACTTACCCAAAGTGAGGCCATGGCAAGTCGCCACCCATCCTGGGCCTCAGTTTCAATTCAGTTCAGTTCAGTCACTCAATTGTGTCCGAATCTTTGTGACCCCATGAACCGCAGCATACCAGGCCTCCCTATCCATCATCAACTCCCGGAGTTTACCCAAACTCATGTCCATTGAGTCAGTGATGCCATCTAACCATCTCATCCTCTGTCATCCCCTTCTCCGCCTGCCCTCAACCCTTCCCAACATCAGGGTCTTTTCAAATGAGTCAGCTCTTCACATCAGGTGGCCAAAATATTGGAGTTTCAGCGTTAGCATCAGTCCTTCCAATGATCATCCAGGATTGATTTCCTTTAGGATGGACTGGTTGGATCTCCTTGCAGTCCAAGGGATTCTCAAGAGTCTTCTCCAACACCACAGTTCAAAAGCATTAATTCTTCAGTGCTCAGCTTTCTTTGTAGTCCAACTCTCACATCCACACATGACCACTGGAAAAACCATAGCCTTGACTAGATGGACCTTTTTGGCAAAGTAATGTCTCTGCTTTTTAATATGCTGTCTAGGTAGGTCATAACTTTCCTTCCAAGGAGTAAGCATGTTTTAATTTCATGGCTGCAATCACCACCTGCAGTGATTTTGGAGGCCCCCCGCAAAAAAAAGTCTCTCACTGTTTCCACTGTTTCCCCATCTATTTGCCATGAAGTGATGGGACCAGATGCCATGATCTTAGTTTTCTGAATGTTGAGCTGTAAGCCAACTTTTTCACTCTCCTCTTTCACTTTCATCAAGAGGCTCTTTAGTACTTCTTCACTTTCTGCCATAAGGGTGGTGTCATCTGCATATCTGAGTTATTGATATTTCTCCTGGCAATCTCGATTCCAGCTTGTGCTTCTTCCAGCCCAGCATTTCTCATGATGTACGCTGCATGTTAAGTTAAATAAGCAGGCTGACAATATATAGCCTTGATGTACTCCTTTTCCTATTTGGAACCAGTCTGTTGTTCCATGTCCAGTTCTAACTGTTGCTTCCTGACCTGCATACAGGTTTCTCAAGGGGCAGGTCAGGTGGTCTGGTATTTCCATCTCTTTCAGAATTTTCCACAGTTTATTGTGATCCACACAGTCAAAGGCTTTGGCATAGTCAATAAAGCAAAAATAGATGCTTCTCTGGAACTCTCTTGCTTTTTTGATGATCCAGAGAATGTTGGCAATTTGATCTCTGGTTCCTCTGCCTTTTCTAAATCCAGCTTGAACACCTGGAAGTTCACGGTTCACGTATTGCTGAAGCCTGGCTTGGAGAATTTGAGCATTACTTTATTAGTGTGTGAGATGAGTGCAATTGTGTGGTAGTTTGTGCATTCTTTGGCATTGCCTTTCTTTGGAATAGGAATGAAAACTGACCTTTTCCAGTCCTGTGGCCACTGCTGAGTTTTCCCAATTTGCTGACATATTGAGTGCAGCACTTTCACAGCATCATCTTTCAGGATTTGAAATAGCTCAACTGGAATTCCATCACCTCCACTAGCTTTGTTCATAGTGATGCTTCCTAAGGCCCACTTGACTTCACATTCCAGGATGTCTGGCTCTAGGTGAGTGATCACACTATCGTGATTATCTGGGTTGTGAAGATCTTTTTTGTACAGTTCTTCTGTGTATTCTTGCCACCTCTTCTTAATATCTTCTGCTTCTGTTAGGTCCATACCATTTCTATCCTTTATTGAGCCCATCTTAGCATGAAATTTTCCCTTGGTATCTCTAATTTTCTTGAAGAGATCTCTAGTCTTTCCTAATCTATTGTTTTCCTCAATTTCTTTGCATTGATTGCTGAGGAAGGCTTTCTTATCTCTCCTTGCTATTCTTTGGAACTCTGCATTCAAATGGGTATATCTTTCCTTTTCTCCTTTGCTTTTCGCTTCTCTTCTTTTCACAGTTATTTGTAAGGCCTCCTCAGACAGCCATTTTGCTTTTTTGCATTTCTTTTCCATGGGGATGGTCTTGATCCCTGTCTCCTGTACAATGTCATGAACCTCTGTCCACAGTTCATCAGGCACTCTGTCTATCAGATCTAGTCCCTTAAATCTATTTCTCATTTCCACTGTGTAGTCATCAGGGATTTGATTTAGGTCATACCTGAATGGTCTAGTGGTTTTCCCCACTTTCATCAATTTCAGTCTGAATTTGGCAATAAGGAGTTCATGATCTGAGCCACAGTCAGCTCCTGGTCTTGTTTTTGCTGCCTGTATAGAGCTTCTCCATCTTTGGCTGCAAAGAATATAATCAATCTGATTTCGGTGTCAACCATCTGGGGATGTCCATGTGTAGAGTCTTCTCTTGTGTTGTTGGAAGAGGGTGTTTGCTATGACCAGTGCATTCTCTTGGCAAAACTCTATTAGCCTTTGCCCTGCTTCATTCTATACTCCAAGGCCACATTTTCCTGTTACTCCAAATTTGCCTGTTACTCCTGTTTCTTGACTTCCTACTTTTGCATTCCAGTCCCCTATAATGAAAAGTACATCTTTTTTGGGTGTCAGTTCTAAAAGATCTTGTAGGTCTTCATAGAACCATTCAACTTCAGCTTCTTCAGCGTTACTGGTCGGGGCATAGACTTGATGTTGAATGGTTTACCTTGGAAATGAACAGAGATCATTCTGTCGTTTTTGAGATTGCATCCAAGTACTGCATTTCGGACTCTTTTTGTTGACCATGATGGCTACCCCATTTCTTCTAAGGGATGCCTGCCCACAGTAGTAGATATAATGGTCATCTAAGTTAAATTCACCCATTCCAGTCCATCTTAGTTTGCTGATTCCTAGAATGTCGACGTTCACTCTTTCCATCTCCTGTTTGACCACTTAACGATTTGCCTTGATTCATGGACCTAACATTCCAGGTTCCTATGCAATATTGCTCTTTACAGCATCAGATCTTGTTTCTATCCATCCACAACTGGGTGTTGTTTTTTCTTTAACTCCATCCCTTCATTCTTTCTGGAGTTATTTCTCGACTGATCTCCAGTAGCATACTTGGCAGCTACCGACCTGGGGAGTTCATCTTTCAGTGTCCTATCTCTTTGCCTTTTCATACTGTTCATGGGGTTCTCAAGGCAAGAATACTGAAGTGGTTTGCCATTCTCTTCTCCAGTGGACCACATTCTGTCAGACCTCTCCACCATGACCCGTCTGTCTTGGGTGGCCCCACATGGCATGGCCTAGTTTCATTGAGTTAGACAAGCTGTGGTCCGTGTGATCAGATTGGCTAGTTGTCTGTGATTGTGGTTTCAGTCTGTCTGCCCTCTGATGCCCTTTCTCAGCGCCCACTGTCTTACTTGGGTTTCTCTTACCTTGGACGTGGGGTATCTCTTCACAGCTGCTCCAGCAAAGCTCAGCCGCTTCTCCTTACCTTTGACGTGGGGTAACTCCTCTTGGGGTAGCTCCATTTTGCATCTGCAAAATGGGGGTGGTATTAATAGCACCTGCCTCATGGGGCTCTCCTTTGGATTTCTCAAGCCATTTGGGGCTTCCCTTGGTGGTCTTGTAATTAGATCTCTGCGCTTCCACTGCAGGGGGTACAGGTTTGATCCCTGGTGGGGAACTAAGATCCTACGAGACACACAGCAAAAGAAAAAAAAAAAAGACTTTAAAGCAGGGCCTGGGATATGGACCTCATTTTCCACATGAGTAGAACTAAATTGCAGAAAATCCATCAACTTGCCCAAGGACATGCTGCTAACAAAGAGTTGACCCTGAATCAAACCCAGGTCTAACTCCAAAGTCACATTCTTAGAGGGGAAAGGTGAGATATCAGGTAGTATGGAAATGCTCACTCAGACTACTCAGAGTCCCTGCCTCCATGAACAGCAGAAGGGATCACTTCCTGTCCTCCCTGCCATTCTGGCCAAGACCTATTTATGAGAGACCACTGCTGATGTCATCCAGAAGGAACCAGCCTTGTCCAATCAGCTGGGACCTGGGAGATGAGGTCATGAGGACAAGCATGGCTGTCTTGACTGTCCTGGTGGGAAGAGGCAGTCTTCAGAAAAGAGGGGTCTGGACTGAGAAGCACCCCAAGAAGGCCTGCCAAACCCACCAAGGGCCAAGGGAGATTCCCTGTAGTTTTGCAGTGAATTTCTTGGACCCTGACGCCTTAAGCTCATCCTAGCTCTGCCATATGCTAGCTTGTGGGACTCCGGGTGACCCCTTTAACTGTTTTGTGCTCCATCTGTAAAACAGGGATAATGGTAATATAATATCTGCCTCAAAGAGTAGGTATGTGAGGGACTTCCCTGGTGGTCCAATGGCTAAGATACCGTACTCCCAATGCAGGGGTCGTGGGTTCAATCTCTTGCCTGGGAACTAAGATCCCACATGCCACAACTTAACAGTTGAGTTCACATGCCCCCATGGGGCAACTAAGACCCAGCACAGCCAAATAAATAAATTAAATTAAAAAAAATTTTTTAAATAAAGGGTAGATGTGGGACCTCCCTGGTGATCCAGTTGTTTAGACGCCATGCTTCCACTATAGGGAGTGTGGGTTTGATCCCTGGTCAGGGAACTAAGATCCCACATGTGGCCAAAAAATAAAAATAAATAAATACTAAAAAAACAAAAAAACAGGGTAGATGTGTGAATTACATAAAATGGTGGGAGTGAGATATTGTTAACATTGCCTGGCACATGGTGAACCTTCAAAGAATGTCAGCCACGTGTATTATTATTATGGCTATTTTTGTTATTATTATTTCTCTCTCCATTTTAGGTCTGGCTGACAA